AAGATGTCGTATGCATTCTAGTTCATGTTATAACAAAGGTATATTTATAAATGACTTCATAATGTTATAATTATCACCTTTCAGCAATTATTCATATATTGCGGAAAGTTTTTCACACCTGTTATAAACATTCATGTTTTACATGATAACTATAGGTAATATGATATTTATACCGTATAATTCTCCACACTATCTTCACAATGCATGGTACTATGTTATAGATTCCTCATAATTAATTTCTCGTAATTCTTAAATACTTTATTCATTAAAAATTTTTTCGTTCTTTACAGGGCACGATTCTGTTAGTTATGCAGGGTCGCATTTATTGTATTTTTTATTGTTTTTTTTTTTTTTTCTTGGGGAAACAATACTCAGCAAGTTGACGTTTCGGACTCGGTTCTTTTGTACCTTTGAGACACCATGTGTGCGTCTCGAATTTGATCTTTATCTGGTTTAGAGTAAAGCTTTAAGTTTTTTGTGTTGTTTAAAGGTAAAATGCTAAAAGTATGTTTTGTTATGTTCCAGGTCGGGGCCTAGTGTGCGAGTGCCTCGGCGCGGCCGCGTGCCCCGACGGCGCGGCTAACGGCACGTGCGTCACACAGCCCGGCGGCTACTGCTTCGTAGCTGTTGAGGAGGTGCTCGACGACAATGGACTCGTCGTCGTCGACCGATCAGCGGGCTGCCTGCCTCCTGACGAGTCAGGATTTATGCAAGTCAGTATCTTACACGTTGTTTATATTGATCTTATTAGTTAAATGATGATAGATAAATAGTTACGTAATTTCTACACAAGATTGTATTTTTGACCAATTTCTAATGACTGCATTTTCAATTTCCAGTGCAAAAGCTCCCAGGTGCCACATCAACATCCGAAGGTGATAGAATGCTGTTTCGAGAGCGACCTGTGCAACCGGCGACTGTCCCCGCAGCTGCCGGAGCTGTCGCCCGACGTGACGGAGACGCCCGGGCTGCGCGGCGGCGCGGGCGGGTCGCCCACGGCGCTGGTGGCGGGCGCGCTGTGCGTGGCGCTGCTGGCCGCGTGCGCCGCCTTCCTGCTGCTGTTCCGGCGCCGGCGCCGCGCGGGCAAGCGGCCGCCCTCCCCGCCCGCGCCCCACGCCGCCGACGTCTCCTCGGGCTCCGGCTCCGGCCTGCCTCTGCTGGTGCAGCGCACCGTGGCCAAGCAGATACAGATGGTGGAGTCCATTGGCAAAGGCCGGTACGGCGAGGTTTGGCTCGCGCGCTGGCGCGGCGAGCGAGTCGCCGTCAAAGTGTTCTTTACTACGGAGGAAGCTTCTTGGTTCCGCGAGACAGAAATATACCAAACAGTCTTGATGCGCCACGAGAACATCCTCGGCTTCATCGCGGCCGACATCAAGGGCACAGGGTCCTGGACACAGATGCTCCTCATCACTGATTACCACGAGAATGGCTCGCTGCACGACTACTTGCAGACCGTGGTACTCGACACACACAGCCTCATGACAATGGCGTACTCCATAGTGAGTGGGCTGGCGCATTTACACATGGACATATTCGGCACGAAGGGCAAGCCCGCCATCGCACATAGAGACATAAAGAGTAAAAATATCCTCGTGAAGCGGAACGGTCAGTGCGCCATCGCAGACTTCGGGCTGGCCGTGCGGTACGTGGCGGAGCGCAACGAGGTGGACATCGCGCCCAACACGCGCGTGGGCACGCGCCGCTACATGGCGCCCGAGGTGCTGGACGAGAAGCTCGACGTGAGCAACTTCGAGGCGTTCAAGATGGCCGACATGTACTCGCTGGGGCTGGTGCTGTGGGAGATGTGCCGGCGGTGCTGCTCGGGCGACAAGGCGCAGCACGTGGAGCCGTACGCGCTGCCGTACCACGAGCTGGTGCCGCCCGACCCGACCTTCGAGGACATGCACGGCGTCGTGGTGGCGGCGGGGCTGCGGCCGCCGGTGCCGGGGCGCTGGCTGGGCGCGGAGCCGCTGAGCACGCTGGTGACGCTGATGCACGAGTGCTGGCACGCCAACCCGCCCGTGCGGCTCACGGCGCTGCGCGTCAAGAAGACGCTCGCCAAGTACAACACCGAGACCACCGTCAAGCTCGTGTGACCGTGGAAGGACTCGCCTAGTGTAGGATCCAAGTTTAGTTCCTCGATAATGTTCTATTTATTACGATTCATGTGAACTTCGATAGTTGTAAAGGCCCGATGTGAAAATTCAGTTTGACCACCGTTTTGTTTTAAATCTCAGTATTGTTAAGTTTATTCGGATAGCAGCAGTTCGTGCTACCAGTGAAATGATACTGTAATTATAATTATGACTAACTTATGAATGTTCCCGATGGAATCTCCGCAACTGTATGATTTTGGTTTTAGTTTTGTTCTAAAAGTAATGTTTTATTTTATTACTGTTACTTAGATTTAGTGACGAAGTGTTTTATAATGAAAATTTGTTGTCTTCCGTTTGTATAAGCAATGAAAGTGTTCGTTGAGGCAGCTTTGTTCTTGTTTCGAGTCGTTCGATACGTGTAAATAGTCGTGGAGCGATAGTGAGGCAGCTTTACTATAGATGTGAAACAATACTCTGTTTCTGTTGTACATTAGGCCACTGTGGTGTAGTACAGACTACCGCAGGGTGGCCGAGCGACATGTATTGTGATATTTGGACAATAAGACGCCCTATTATCGTACAAAGCAAAGAATATTTCAAAATTATTGAAGTAGCCATGAAAATGCATTTTTATATTCACATGTTTGTCGGTACAGGTAGCTAATGTGGGTTGTACTTAAACGAAGATAAAAAGACTAATAGTAGTGTGTGAGTATTAAATATATATGGGATGTAATGGCACAGTATCTTATGGAGATGCCTTCGCAACGATTAGTATTAACTATTTGTTTTGTATAGCGAGCCACTTGGTCTGATGTGCCTTACGAAAATATTTTGTGCCTTGACACATAACGTAGTTCGCAGATTAAGAAAATATTTCTTAAACTTTGTGATTTTGAATTGATATAAAAATATAGTAACTCATTCCACAATGTAATAATACACCTCTTTGAGTACCGACAAAGTAACGTTATGAGAATGGGAGTGTGTATAGAGTAGACCAAGTGCCCGCCTAGCATTTACTAGTGCGCATCGCACCCTGTACAGTGTTGTGTAAATATAGCAGGTAGGTAACATTGCATAGGTCTAAATACATGTTAAGTTACAAATAAAACATTAATGGACATAGACTTTGTGTACTTATTCACTACCCGTAACCAGCTAATGCAGCCTTATAAAGAAAATTACCAAATAAATTATACCCATAAAAAGCACCCTCCAATATTCCTGTCGCGTCTGGGGCAGCAGTAACTTGTGGTCCACTCCAGGAGATTGCGTGCATGCAGACTAGTAGACTGGTCAACGTGTGAACGTGACGTAGAGATGTAAGTTATCCGTCGGCTGTAAATATGCGCCGAATAAGGCTCTCGTTGGTCAAACACGACTGTCGAGCAATGCCGGGTTCGAACCCCGCAAGCAGTTATTATGATCTTTTTCAGTTTTGAAAAATTTACTTAACGCGGAAGCACGAAGCCGGAACTTATATAACTGGTATCCTGTTACATTAGCCACAGCTAAATCCTGAATGAATTTCCGACAATGTCTTTAATGTTCTGGATACTAAGGGCCGATGTTTCAATCATCAGTTAATTCTAAGGGGCTGTCTCCACGAGCGAGAGAATCGCGGCGATATTATCGCCGTGCCACGTTTTTCTATACACTCTCTATGGAACCGTCTCCACACGGCGATATCATCGCCGCGATGCGACGAGTGGCAACGAGCGCGCAAAACGTCATTACATCGTCGCTAGCCCGCCGCGACTAGCAACGCGACCGCCACGCGCTCGCGACGAGCGCGCGGTCAAACGCAGCGTTATTTCAGCATTGCCTCTCGTCCCCGTTCGTGGAGATTATCCGACGATATATATAAGGGCGGACTCGTCGCGAATCTCTCGCTCGTGGAGGCAGCCCCTTACTGTGGAATAAAATTGACATTTGACAGTTTTTAGTAGGTACGGAAGAATTGTCAAATATTCAAAGTTATTCCTCAGTTAAAATTTAACTGACCATTGAAAAATCGGCCCTACGAAATCTATATTTTGGTCTATAACTACCCACAGACAAAATGTATGTGTGAACCGAGAGACCAAGCTCTGTATTCACGAAATTAAGGCATGTGATTAGTCCCAGGAATTAGTAGTAGGTAGACTAAAATAATTGTAGAATGGATGATGGTGTTGTGCAGTCAACATCACAAATTCACAAGAGTAGCGAGTGCGATTCTCTAGAATAGCAATCGTAGCAAATATTTGACTATCTAGTAGTACAAAAACCTCCAATATTCTGGGGGTGAAAATATTTGTAAACGCTCGTTGTACGCAGCAGCGATTGATTGGCGCGTTGAATAATTTGAAGTGATAATCGAGTACCTTCAAGAAAACAATGCCAAAAGGTCCAGTACCTATTGGCATTGTTTTCTTTGTGAAAACAATAATTGAGGCTCGTATTAGCTATGCATTTTTTAAAGGGGGAAAATCATCGAATGGGTTCTCCCGCCTGGGTGAGGCGGGAGTTTCAGACTCTTTCTGACAAAGACCACTCCTGACGTTCGAGCCGGAGCCCCGGTAACGCGTTAAGTTCTCCGCGGCTCCGTATTGGCATCAGCCATATTGGGCCCCATCTGTCGTGGTCTGATGGTTATTTGAGCTAGGAAGCATAAAAATAAAAAAAATCTTTATGTACTTAATGATATTTTATTTCACTTATTTACATTCAGGCACATACATTCATACATTTATATCTTCCATGCCAATCATACTTGTGGAAATAGCAAATCAGTCACTCCCACCTTAACTTATACATTTGTATTTTCTATAAAACAGTACTATCGTTCAGCCAGTCAAAACATTACAAATTGATTGCAACTGAGCGTTGGACAACTATATCTAAATTTTCAATATTAACCTAGTAAGGCGCGTATCTTCTGGAGGGAGAAGGTCCTCGCATTCCCGGTCTGAAACAATAGCATTTTCAATTAGCAACTTGACAATACAAATGAATTTTCTAGATAGTTATGAATTAAAAAAATGTTAATATTAGTTTGTAAGCTTATTTTATGAGACAAAATGACATACCTTCTATCATCAAATGTGTCACGACTAAAGTCTTCGTACATTCTGTAAATAGAGAAAATTGTTTAAATTACTAATCAATTCAAATGAATTAAATAATTAATACATAATAGGGAAAAATAAAGTATTGATTGAATAACATATTTCCTATGTTTTGTTTTTTTGTGAAGGTGAAATGAATATTTTTTTTTTAGGACATGTATGGACTACACACATTATACATAGGGAAATGTAACTATTGATTAGTTATGAAATGTAAATGTAATGCGGGTATAATACTGACACATGAACATGAGTGATGCTCGGAAAGATTGTAGTAAAATAAGAAGTTATAGATTTAAGTAGGTACAATGATCTGTGTCAATAGTGTTACTTTGCAACTGTTAAGATTGAAGGAAAAGCAAAATGATGGATCATAATTGCTTATAAGATGAATATAAAAACAGTGGTATGAAGCCAAAGTTAGTTAACATTGACACAAGTTAATTCTCACCCCCGGGACATTTGGGGCCCTTGAGGGGGACTTCTCCTGCTGTACATAGCATCATACGACGACCTCATAGATCCCATCCCACTGCGCATCGGCGGCAGACTCGGCATTGGCGGCATAGGCTCGCGGCGGAGCGGCGGCGACACGAAGTCCCCGCGCCCACCGCGAGACGCTCCCATCTCTAGCCCGCGCGAAGCGCCCACAGGGTAGCGGCGCTCGAAGAGGTCACGAGGTGACTCGAACCTCGCGCGATCATAGTACCCATCATAGGGATCCTGTCACAATAAAACAAATTAGTACTAAATCAATTAGGGAGAAACAAACAAAAACAAACTTGTCATGAATTGCAATATGTTATCTTTTGTAGGTCTGGTGGTGAGCAGCGATTGTAGCATCACTGAGCCCGATCAAATTATTTCGGCCCGAGTTAGGAACCGCGTGCGAAGACAGACTCCACGCGCTCGGCCTACGTGATGCATCGAAAGCGGTCAGATGAAAACCGACGGTTCGGATAGTAAGTGATAGCGCGTTACCCCAAATCCTCCCATCATGCGATCGCGAAGGAACGGCGGCGGCGGCGGCGGGGGGTAGGGGTCGCGGCCGAATGCTCGATCGCGGAAACCGTTCCGGTCAGGGCCCAGCGCCTTGGGGCACTCCTTGGACCAGTGGCCGCCCCGACCGCAGCGGTAGCACTGCTCGGGGTCGCCCATACCCGGCCGCTGGCGGACGCGGCTCGTAGACAGCTGCACCTTCATGGGCTGTCCGTCCACCATCATACCGTTCAGTTCTTTGATAGCTTCGTTCACGTCACCCGACGCGTCCAGGTGCACGAAGCCATAGTTACGAACTATATCGCACTCGACAACCGTGCCGAACTTCTGAAACAGCTCGCGGACTTCGGGCGCGCGCGTCTTGTCCGTTAGGTTACCGACGAATATTTTTGTGGTCGGCGTCGACGGGGCCTTTCGGCTCTTGGCGGCTTCTATTTTGATGGCCTGGCCATGAACTATCTCTCCGTTTAAATTCTGTATGGCTTCGCGGCCAACTTGTTCGTTTTCCATGTGAACGAAACCGTAATTTCTGACGATATCGCATTCTACGACCGTACCGTATTTTTCGAATAGCGGTCTAAGATCGGCGTCCGTTGTTTTATCGGAAAGATTCCCGACGAAGATTTTGAAAGTACCGGCGCCCGGCATTTTAGACTCTGAAACGCATACATAATTTGACGAAATGAGTCAGCAGCGTCCATGACAATGGGTAATGGAAGTTTGCAATACCGTGAAAAGAAGAAAAGAAATAAAATAACGTATGCGACTAGGACTGATTCCAAAAATTACTTACCTTAGACTAATATAAGTACACGAATAAAGCACAACCTCGAGAAAATACACACGTTGAACGTTTAGTATAAAAATTACAAATTTTAAAAGCCTGGGCAATGTGAACTTAACCACACAAAATGGCGACACGAACCAAAGAGAAAGAAAAAAGAATGAATGAAACTAAGTAAAGCGTCGTCACTGTTTCACGCAGTGGTAGAGTGGCAATCTGGCAATGAATGATTTTGACGCATAAATGCCGCAGCGGCGTAGTTCTTTTCCGTTTCCGATTCTACTACTTTCGATTAACCACAGATGTACGAAGTGCAAAAAGCACTGTATTTTTATTATTTAAAAATAAAGTTTACTGAAAATCCTGGATTTATGTAGAAATTTTAGTATTATAATTGATAAATACAAAAATTAATTGATTTCTTTTCACAATATAAACAAAAGGTTTCAGCAAGTGCATACTGCATACTGTACTTACACTAATATAATTTTTTTAAGTATGATATAATTTAAGTACCTTAGAAAAACTTAGTCAAAACTATAGGTTACATTTTATTATTATATTATCGGTATAATAAATATGTGTAGCATAATAAATTATACATAATCCTTCCTCCAGAACCGTAAATATACGTTCGGTAGCTTTTGAGTTAATCATGTCAGACAGATTTCTTTTATTACAATGAAAACATAATTATTTGTGTGATGACACTACGCATAAAAACCTTTAGAAAACAGCACCTACATAGTGTAGTGTACAAGAATTTATAGAATCTAATCTTTGTACTTAGCTTATCTGTGCTCAACTCGTCTATTGTTTATGGCAAGTTGAATGAACTCTGAATGAACTCAAATGAACTGTATTATTTTCTATTACGATTACAATAAGGGAAATGTAAAAACTCTTAAAAATATTATTGAGAATTCTACTCGTTTAACTCACAAAAAATTATAATTAATTAAGATTGTGCAAAATAAGGAATATTTGAAAATGTTAAAAAAAGTTTCATTACATCTAGCAATACCACTACAACCTAAATAGGCTAGTTTTTACAAATATTTTGAGTGGCAATCTTTATTCTTAATGTCAAAAGCAGTCATTCTGTCGACGTCTATTCACATAAAAATATTGAATATTTCGAGTAAAAAATCAATTTTATTTCGTGAAAACAGTGAATTTGTGGCAAATTGACAATTTTTGGGCGTACGTTGCACGTCACTAATTGCCGGTAAGTTGAATATTATATCCTCATTTCAGATAACGTGGGATGCGAAAATAGATCGAATGGCATTCTGAATTATTAAATTATTGTTGCTATTGCTAATTGTGTTGTGGGTGATAGTTGTGTGTTATGGAATGCGGCGGCTGAATTCTCGTCTGGCGGTCGGTGTCATAAGTTAAATGAGAAGGCAACAGAAATGAATGTAGAGTACGTTTTGTGGTATATTTTGCGATCTATTGATAGCGATACGGACGTCGGTGTTGTGATACGAAAGTCAACTGATTGAATAATTGCAACCGGCGATTCTAAGGCTTCTGTTCGCAAATTTACAAGAACTGTTCTTTAAAAACTGTTGACAACATCTAATGAGTAATCATTATAGACAGGGCTGCTTTTATTGTTAATAATTATTAACGTTACTAATATATTTCTAACCCCAATATCTATTATTTACTACAATACATTTATTTTTCGTATATAAAAACTTAATACCTAAAGACTTTATTCTTTAACAAATCGTCCTGTTCTAATTTTATCATTATACAAAGTAAAAGTTGTTGTACTAGATTCATCTTATCACTACTTATCATGACTTCCCCTCAGCTGACAGTTTAAAGACAAAATGAAACCATAATCTCTTTTTAAAATCTTCGTACAGATTCTAATTTAGTAAAAACTAAAACACCTGTCCCTATTTTGTATACTTTAGTAATATAAATTAGAATATTATTAGATACAGTTGTATAATTGGACAGTTTGCATCGAATTACTTTTTAATATTTATTTAGCAGGTGTCCCATTTATATTAATTATAATAAATTAATGCAAGAGTTTTTCCTTATTAGAATTTGTAAATCTTATTAGAATTTGGTTTTGTGTCTGTCACTGACAATTTGCTAATTTAATGGTTGTTTCAATATTAAACTGTCAAACACCAAGCGGTCACCGGTGACCGCAACCTATTGTTCTTTAATTGTGACTATAAATACGGTACTCGACGAGTTAATGTCATTATGATCAAATAGATAACTTCAATGTTTAAATAAATTTTTTTCTTTGACAAAATTTGCTCCATAGGCTCAAATTGCCAAGAGTCCAGTCATCAATACAGTACTATTGTTGTTTCAATTTCTTGAAACCACAATGTAAAATGCAATTTATAAATGTAAGAAGCAGTCATGGTAACTGGAAACGGATACAGGTTTTTATTCTTATTTATATTTCATAAATTGACACAACTTGTCTTATGTGTAAGGTACTTTTTTTAATACTTGTTTGTCACTGTATAGGGAAAGTCAAAGTCAGGGACAAAATCATTTATTTCAATTAGATCAGGAAGGCACCTTTGAACGTCAACAAAAAAATTTATGTGAAGCTCATTGGTGTAGATTCCTATGTAGAAGAACGAGCAACAAACTCCATAGGTTACTGTACAATTTTAAACTGTCAAATACCAAGCGGTCACCGGTGACCGCGACCTATTGTTCTTTAATTGTGTCTATAAAACCGGTACTCGACGAGTTAAGAAGGTTCACAATACAATTTTTCGGAAAAAAATCAGTAAAAAGTTAATTTCAATACTTTTTATTATATCACAGATTAGTGTGCATAGATTTATAATTTATTAAATCCTGGTTCCAAATCAGTAAACTATTTTTCAGTTTGTTTTGAAGTATAGGTGACTTATCTGCATTATGAATTAATTTATTAACATGTCCCCCAAATCCAGTATAAGCATTCAAATACATATCTAATAATTAATATTAAAATAATTCATTAGTAATACAGTAATATTTGGTATATATTTTGAACAATATAATATACTGACAGCTCATATGACATTTTCTTTTTCAACTTTACAATGTTGTAATACATAAGATTTTTTGTGCTGTAGTTCACAATAATAGGCGTTCGCCGGCCGCGCCGCTGAAATCAATGTCGTTTCATGAGACTCGCTCAGTGGGCTCGGTACATCGGTGGTTCACCTACATAGGCTTATTGTGTGACGCGTTCTGCGGTAGCAATGAATGGCGTTGTGGAAAGGACCCGAGCTGTCATGTCCGGTGTCTTAGTTCGCAAGTGCGAGTGAGAGCCTCGTGTGCGAGCAGGACGGCGGTCGCTCGATACTGCTCGTATTGTTGGGGCGTCCCTCGCCCCGCGCCGCGTTCAAGAGGGTTATGTAATTTAGGCGAGGCTTCGAAGCCAGCGAAAACAAGGAGCGATGATGGAAATTTAGTCTCCTGGGAAACTTGCTGTAAGGAGGAATCCGGTTTCGAACGGGTAATGGAAGGTTTTTGGGATATGGCGTTACATATGTGTAGGCTGCAGAATTAGTTGTTGTCCTGATAAAAAGTTGTTACATAATTTGTTGTATCAGTTATCAATGTACTGACTATACTTAACAGCTGTTCTATCAATGATTCATGTTTACTACTGATTAAAATTTGTATTAGATTACAGAATGAGTGTTGCAATCTGTCACGATTACACCGCATTTCTATCAAATATTTAATTTGGTAATATGTATGAACATGACTCAAACATGAAGTCATATTCGATAGTAGATAAATAGTAATCTAGATCTTTATAAATCGTAATCCGTGTGATTTATTAGCATTAGTCAGTCGCTCGCTTCGAAGCCGACCCCTACACCTCCATGTGAAATGGTAGGAATGTATCCCCCTACTATAGTAATTGGCTCGTGATATTCGCAATTTGAGACACAATATGCCGTATTGTTTCACGTAATGTACTGAAAAGAGGATAACTACCATTACCTCGGCCATATCTATAACCTAGGTCTCATACGAACTCAGTCGGTGCCAGTCTCGAAACTGGCTCTTCCCGGAGTTTCAACATTTTACGTAATTTGACTATCTGCAGAGAGACCCAACCTAGCCAATTTATTTAATGTAAAGAGTTTGTATCGCTAAATGACAAATTTATGCGCTACCTAAACTTTGCTTGGGAAATTAGAATTAAAAAGTCGTTGGTTTTAATTCTATTTATTTGAGTAAAGGCCAGACCTGGAGGCCGGCTCCCCGAGGATTCATTGCCAACAGTTTGCCATCTTTTGTTTTATATCCCAGCGCTTTGTCCAAGTCGCGACAGTAACACAGACCATATAAAAACTTGGAAGTTAGTAACCCGCAGTTTTTATCTTCATTGTTGTCGAAGCAAGGTCTCCCGAGCCACGTCGGAAGCACTGTCCAATTTGAGATTTGTGTAAAAAACTGAATGTTTGATGAATCATAAGTGACAAGACTTCTTTCTTTTATATTTGTTTGAGCAAAAAATGTTGCGGAACCTAGATGATTCATTTGTTTAATGTTGACTAGATTTGTGTTAACGTCCTCGGGCCCCGACGGAGTATCGTTAGGTAATAGTGGAGCGGCGTGCCATGGTAGATAATCTTTTATAGAGCAATCACACAAAATGAGCCTGCGAGGATTCTAAATGGATGCCTATCTTGCGAAATAAGAGCTGGAGATACACTCTTATTCCCACTGCTAAACTGAGTGAGTTACTCTATTTGAGGTACCGATATATATTCATGGGTTTAAAGATATTCAAATTCATCACAGACTGAATAATCTTTAATTTGCTTTCACTTTCGAACCTTTTAAAATGCAAAATTATTAA